CGAGTTTATATAACTGTGTGGGGCTACTGGGGGGAGGGGTGTTCGGGACGAGTTGGGTGGTTGGGGGATAGATGCAGCACTTTAGTGGGTCATGGGAGGGGGGGTATGAATCATATGCACTTTAGTGGGGGGGTATCCTCCCGTTTTTATGCTGCTTTATCAATTGTGTGTGTGTGTGTGTGTGTGTATATGTGTATGTACAGTACAGGCCAAAAGTTTGGACACACCTTCTCATTCAATGCGTTTTCTTTATTTTCATGACTATTTACATTGTAGATTCTCACTGAAGGCATCAAAACTATGAATGAACACATGTGGAGTTATGTACTTAACAAAAAAAGGTGAAATAACTGAAAACATGTTTTATATTCTAGTTTCTTCAAAATAGCCACCCTTTGCTCTGATTACTGCTTTGCACACTCTTGGCATTCTCTCCATGAGCTTCAAGAGGTAGTCACCTGAAATGGTTTCCACTTCACAGGTGTGCCTTATCAGGGTTAATTAGTGGAATTTCTTGCTTTATCAATGGGGTTGGGACCATCAGTTGTGTTGTGCAGAAGTCAGGTTAATACACAGCCGACAGCCCTATTGGACAACTGTTAAAATTCATATTATGGCAAGAACCAATCAGCTAACTAAAGAAAAACGAGTGGCCATCATTACTTTAAGAAATGAAGGTCAGTCAGTCCGGAAAATTGCAAAAACTTTAAATGTGTCCCCAAGTGGAGTCGCAAAAACCATCAAGCGCTACAACGAAACTGGCACACATGAGGACCGACCCAGGAAAGGAAGACCAAGAGTCACCTCTGCTTCTGAGGATAAGTTCATCCGAGTCACCAGCCTCAGAAATCGCAAGTTAACAGCAGCTCAGATCAGAGACCAGATGAATGCCACACAGAGTTCTAGCAGCAGACCCATCTCTAGAACAACTGTTAAGAGGAGACTGCGCCAATCAGGCCTTCATGGTCAAATAGCTGCTAGGAAACCACTGCTAAGGAGAGGCAACAAGCAGAAGAGATTTGTTTGGGCCAAGAAACACAAGGAATGGACATTAGACCAGTGGAAATCTGTGCTTTGGTCTGATGAGTCCAAATTTGAGATCTTTGGTTCCAACCGCCGTGTCTTTGTGAGACGCAGAAAAGGTGAACGGATGGATTCCACATGCCTGGTTCCCACTGTGAAGCATGGAGGAGGAGGTGTGATGGTGTGGGGGTGTTTTGCTGGTGACACTGTTGGGGATTTATTCAAAATTGAAGGCACACTGAACCAGCATGGCTACCACAGCATCCTGCAGCGACATGCCATCCCATCCGGTTTGCGTTTAGTTGGACGATCATTTATTTTTCAACAGGACAATGACCCCAAACACACCTCCAGGCTGTGTAAGGGCTATTTGACCAAGAAGGAGAGTGATGGAGTGCTGCGGCAGATGACCTGGCCTCCACAGTCACCGGACCTGAACCCAATCGAGATGGTTTGGGGTGAGCTGGACCGCAGAGTGAAGGCAAAGGGGCCAACAAGTGCTAAACACCTCTGGGAACTCCTTCAAGACTGTTGGAAAACCATTTCAGGTGACTACCTCTTGAAGCTCATGGAGAGAATGCCAAGAGTGTGCAAAGCAGTAATCAGAGCAAAGGGTGGCTATTTTGAAGAAACTAGAATATAAAACATGTTTTCAGTTATTTCACCTTTTTTTGTTAAGTACATAACTCCACATGTGTTCATTCATAGTTTTGATGCCTTCAGTGAGAATCTACAATGTAAATAGTCATGAAAATAAAGAAAACGCATTGAATGAGAAGGTGTGTCCAAACTTTTGGCCTGTACTGTATATATATATATATATGCATGTGTGTTTGTGTGCGTGGGTATTTATATGTGTATAATTGGAGGTTTATATGCCATAAGCACTTTAGTTGGTGGGATATGACTTGTTGTTGTTTTTTTTTTTTGTTATTTGTTATTTTATGTGGGGACTGCAGATGGAAACTAGCTGTCAGCTAAATCTGGTGTTATGCATCTCTTCTTGTGATTCGAGATTAATGTTTATAACACATGGTCCCTGTTAAATAAAATTGTTAAAAAAAAAAAAAATGTCATTCAGTGCAATTATTGCCCTGGGATAAAAACTGTTCTTGAACCGGTTTGTTCTGGTTTTAATTGTCCTGTATCAACAGTTCAAACAGAGAGTGTCCTGGGTGTGTTGGGTCCTTGAGAATTGTTTGGGCTCTGGGTGGGGAAAGGGCAATCAGTGGTTTTCTGGGCTGTGGTGATGACCCTCTGAAGCGCCTTCCTCTCTGCTGTTGTGCCGCTGGCATACCACACACACACACACACACACACACACACACTCCATATGTGAGCTGCGGTAGAAGGCCACAAGCAGCTTCTGGGAGAGATGGTTCTTCCTGAGGAGTCTCAGGAAGTAGAGTCTCTGCTCTGCCTTCTTTATCAGCTCCGTGATGTTGGTGCTCCAGGTCAGGTCCTCCTCCATGTGGATGCCGAGGAACAGGAAGGTCGAGACCCTCTCAACATAGTCCCCAGTGATGTAGAGTAGTTGAATGTCTGTTTTATTTTTCCTGTAGTCGACGATCACCTCCTTTGTCTTGGTGGTGTTAGGAGCCTTATCACCGCACCACCTGGACAGCCGCTCCACGTCGTCCTTGTAGGCCGATTCATCCCCCCAGAGATGAGTCCAACCACTGTGGTGTCATCAGCAAATATATAAAAGTATTGCTGGGGTGGGTGGGGGCGCAGTCGTAGGTGTGGAGGGTGTAGAGTAGGGGGCTCAGCACACAGCCCTGTGGTGAGCTGGTGCTGAGGCTGAGAGCAGTGGAGGTATGGGGGCCCACTCTAACCCTCTGTGAGCGACTGATAACAAATCCAGGATCCAGTAGCAGATGGATGGTGAGAGACCCAGTTCTGTCAGATTGGACGCCAGTCTGTGCTGAAGGATGGTGTTGAACGCCGAACAGAAATCCACGAAGAGCAGCCTCACGTAGCTCCCCCGCTGCTCTAGGTGGGACAAAGCAGCATGGAGAGCTGTAGCCATAGCGTCCTCTGTGGATCTGCTGGCTCTGTAGCAAACTGGTGTGTGTCCAGAGCCGGTGGTAGACTGACAATGATGTGTCGCCGCACCAGCTTCTCAAAGCACTTCATAATGATGGGTGTGAGTACTACGGGACGGTAGTCATTGAGAGTGTTAATGTTCCTTTTGGGCAGCATCTGACAGTCACAAACTCCAGCTCTGGGGAGCAGTGGCTGGCTAACACCTTGGCATTGGTGCACCAGCTGTTGTTCACATAAATGCATAACCCCCCTCCTCTGCTCTTCCCAGAGGCCTTAGTCCTGTCCTGCGATATGCTGTGTAGCCCGCTAGCTCAATAGCCGTATCCGGGATGAGTGCATGAAGCCAGGTCTTGGTGAATAACAGAATGCAGCTGTCTTGTTCGCTGCAATCTGTAGCTTCAGCTCATCCAGCTTGTTGGCGAGGGACCTCCCACTGGCGAGGAAAACGTTGGGAAGCGGTGGTTTGTGCGGCTGCCTCCGTAGCCTCGCTAGCACGCCAGCTCTGCAGCCCCACTTCTGCTTTCTCTCGCACCGCCACCGCCATCTCCTTGCTGAGATTGTAATCCAGGGAGGGCCTGGAGTCCTAGCTATGTCATCCAGGATGCTGTGTGAGCCGAGAAACTCAGCTGTAGCGTGTCCGTCGTTCTGTAAACCTATCTGTATGAGATCGTGCCGGCTGCAGATGTAGGTCGCTGAGCTGAAAAACATCAGGAACCCATACAACACACTGGCCAGAAGAGCACCGAGCTGTGCGTCTGCGCGCGGCGCCATCTTCACCATCAGTAGACAGACAGTAACTCACTGAGAAGTGAGAATTGTGACAACTTGTAACAACGTCCTGCACATCTCAAAGTCCGACTCACAACAAATACTGTGCTGATGATGTTTCAGCTCGAACACGTCTGTTATGTTTGGACATTCTGTGTGACAGAGTCTAAATGTTGCCGCTGTGACCAGGAGACAGGACGATGAAGGGAGGAAAGAAAATCTGCAGGTCCTGACCAACGATGTGACGGACGCCGTGACCAACCACGTGACCGGGAATGTGCAGAGGCGTTCCTCCAAACATCAGGCAGGAATTTAAATATGACAGAGAGAAACCATGTTCAAGATTCAACATTCTGTCTGTCAAAGAAGCTGGTCTGAAGCGGAGGACCCCTGTTTCACCTGCACGTCTGTCCCCACTAACTGTTTGCAGATGCTAATAATTAGACTGCGTGTGACTGTCTGCGCTGATCCGTCTGAACTGGACTGTTTTTGCAATGAGGCTCATTTTCACAGAGACGGGCCAGTTTGTACCAAAAGTTTGTGCCTTACCTCGAAGAGCGCCGCAGGAACGAATCCTAAAACCCAGGAATGAGTTAGCGAGTTAGCATGTTAGCATGTAAGCACTTCCTGTTCCCTCGTCTTGAAGTCAGTGTGTTTTTGGTTCAATGTGTGTTGTTAACACGAGCTGAAGAGATGTTCACCTTTTGTTCTACGTCAGTTTAGGAGCTTTATGTGTCTCTAACAAGAGTCTAAATGAGACTACAGAACGTCATCACGCTGAACATGTTAAGTCATTTGTCAGTTGTCAGTTTGTTTACAGCCTAACGTTAGCTTTTTACTTCAATAACCATAAAGCTCATTAGTGAAGATTATCTCTCTGAACAGAACCTGAAGGATCAGACATGTTTGTTTATTTTCTGTAATAATCCAAAATCCACGCTGTTTGTCGACCCTAACCTCAGCGTCGGCCTACAGAAGAACATCGTCCCTGCAGGACTGTATAAATATGTACAGGAGCTCTGACAGGCTGTTCGCTTGGCAGCACTTGGTGCTTTTCACTCTCTGCAGGTGCTGCATGATGTGTCTTTGTCTTTTATGCGCACATCTCGCCGTGCCGACCTTCTGTTGGGTGGTCGAGGGATGTTCAGGTGTGTGTGCAGTACCTGTCCTTTCTCAGCAGGGGGCAGTCTCTGCTCAGGTAACGGAGGAACTGCAGCTCCACACTGAGCACAGAACCGAGCAAAAGGATCTGAAGGACGGAAACTCAGACACTGAGCACACCTGGACACACAGACAGGTACAGACAGACAGAGTTAGACAGCTCTCAGGTTAATGTCATGATGACAGCTTTAAATACGGTGATTGTAAAAGTCTTCCTCTCCAACACTTCCTGTTTTTAAAGGTGAAGCCTCAGACTCATCAGGACGCTTCTGTCCCCAGGTCAGAGGACTTTCACTCTGGAGGTGAAACCTGTGACAGTTTGTCCAGAAGAAGATGGAGCCCTCCTCTGTGTCTCCTCCTGAGCTTTCTACCATTTTCTCCCTGTTAAAGGTTTTTTTGGGGAGTGTTTTCTGATCAGCTGTGAAACTGTTCATAACTATGGTCCAAGACCTGAGGGCCGCAGAGAGTGGTGATGTTTGTAAAAGCAAACTCAAGACCGAACTATTTAGCCTGGCTTTTAATTGAAATGTCTTTTATTTTATTATTATTATTATTATTATTCATTTTAATTAATTTATTATTGTTTTTATGTTTTTTTTTTCTTAGCTACACATTCTTCCATTTTGTCACTTGTTTATTTATTTTAACTTATTTATTGACTAATCTAAAATTGTTTTCTATTTTAAGTTTTTGTCCCGCCTCTGGTGTTTCCTCAGCTCCTTAGTTTAATAAGCCTTTTATAATTTCAGTCCTTACAATTACAGTCTCTCTGAATTCATAGATGTGTTTGTTTTTATTGTGTGAAGCACTTTGTGTTGCATTATTATTAGTATAAAAAGTGCTATATGAATAAAGTTTGATTGACTGATATTTGGCTTTATAAATAAAACTGAATGAAATTGAAGAAACATAAGATTTGAAGAGGCACAAAGATTGTTTGGTTTCCAAAATCAGCCCAAACTGAATTTGAAGGACGTCATCGACCTGCCGAAGGACTGTTCCAATGTCAAGGATCCTTCTGAGTTTCACGAAGGACTGAGTCCTTCTTTCGGAGAAATTCAAAGGATGCATGTGTGGATCCTCTGCGGGTATAAAATCCCCACAATGCTTTGCACAGTACATGATATGCTGGAAGTGAGGGCGGGGCCTCTTCAATGAAACCTTGGCAGGATTTAGATTACTATGTCATTTATTTGGATTAATGTCTCCACCTGAGTTTATCAGACAGAAACCTCATTTACACTTTCCAATATGTCCACTGCCACATGATGAGGTTTATTAAATAACATGATTTAGATAAAACATCACGCACCACGGTGAGGTATAACAATGACAAACCCTGGTTTAGTCCTAAACTCAGACAGTTGAGGCGGCTGAGGGAAGAGGCGTTCAGGAGTGGGGACAAGGAGAGGTTTAAAGAATCAAAGTACAGGTTTAGCAAGGCGGTGAGGGAAGCTAACAGCTGTATGCTGAGAAACTACAACACCAGTTCTCAGCCAACGACTCTGCTTCTGTCTGGAAGGAGCTCAGACAGATTACAAACTACAAACCTAACCCTGCGCCTAGCCAACGATCTGTACGATTTTTACTGTCGATTTGAAAGTCAATGGGACAGTCCGGACACCATCCTCCACAACCACCAGCTCCAATCCACCAGCATCACCTCTCCCACCTCATTAGGGGCCTGCCCCCCTCAACTGCCCGCACCTATGGCCCCCACCTCCACTATCACTATCCAGGAGAGGGATGTCAACAGGCTCTTGAAGAGGCAGAACCCAGCAAAGTAGCCGGACCAGACTGTCTCTCCATCCACCTTGAAGCACTGCGCCGACCTGCTGTCTCCGGTGTTCACCCACATCTTCAACACCTCACTGGAGACATGCCATGTGCCAGCCTGCCTCAAGACCTCCACCATCATTCCCATCCAAAGCCAAGGACCACAGGACTTAATGACTACAGACCCATCGGCCTGACCTCTGTGGTAATGAAGTCCTCTGAGCGTCTTGTGCTGTCACACCTCCATGACCACCACCGACCTTCTCCTGGACCCCCTGTAGTTTGCCTACAGAGCCAACAGGTCTGTAGACGACGCTGTCAACATGGCCCTCCACTTCACCCTCCAGCATCTGGACTCCCCAGGAACCTAAGCCAGGATCCTGTTTGTGGACTTCAGCTCTGCCATCAATACAATCATCCCAGCTCTGCTACAGGACAAGCTCTCCCAGCTGAGTGTGCCTGACTCCACCTGCAGGTGGATCACTGACTTCCTGTCTGACAGGAGGCAGCACATGAAGCTGGGGAGACATGTTTCTGACACCCAGACTGTCAACACTGGATCCCCCCAAGGCTGTGTTTTTTCTCCTCTGCTCTTCTCCCTGTACACCAACAGCTGCACCTCCAGTCATCAGTCCGTCAAGCTCCTGAAGTTCACGGACGACACCACCCTCATTGGACTCATCTCTGAAGGGGATGAGTCCTACAGGTGGGAGATTGACCAGCTGGTGACCTGGTGCAGGCTAAACAACCTGGAGCTCAACGCTCTAAAGACAGTGGAGATGGCTGTAGAGTTCAGGAAGAACCCAGCCCCGTCACCCTGTATGACTCGCCAGTCGACACTGTGGAGTCATTCTGCTTCCTGGGGACCACCATCACCCAGGACCTCAAGTGGGAGCTGAACATCAGCTCCCTTACAAAGAAGGCACAGCAGACCTTGTGAAATAGAACAGCACTGTCGTGTCCAAAAACAAGTGCAGACGAAGATCCACTGGAAACTGTATGAAGATCTAGCAACTTCTGCACAATCAACCGGCGCCGGCGGAAGAGTTTACAGTTGCACCAGCAACTTCCTGTTTCGATCAACATTCTGAATCTGATTGGACGAAGAAGCAAACGAGTTTGGTGGGACGAAACGGGATCTCCATGACAGTGACAGTGACACAAGACGAGCTCAGAGGAGACGGAGACAACAGAACACTGAACGATCACTGATCGTGACAACGTGTTCCACTGCTATACCTCGAAGAGAATATTATTGTTATCATTATTAATAATAATTTCGTACTCGTACTCGTACTCATCGTCCTCCGCTTATCCGGGTCCGGGCCACGGGGGCAGCAGCCTCAGCAAAGAAGCCCAGACAGTCCTCTCCCCAGCCACTTCCGTCAGCTCTTCCGAGGGAACCCCGAGGCGTTCCCAGGCCAGCCAGGCGATGTAATCCCTCCAGTGTGTCCTGGGGCGGCCCCGAGGTCTCCTCCCGGTTGGACATGCCCGAAACACCTCCCAAGGGAGGTGTCCGGAAGGCATCCTTACCAGATGCCCGAACCACCTCATCTGGCTCCTCTCGATGTGGAGGAGCAGCGGCTCTACTCCGAGCTCCTCACCCTATCTCTAAGGCTGAGCCCAGCCACCCTGCGGAGGAAACTCATTTCGGCCGCTTGCACTCGCGATCTCATTCTTTCGGTCACTACCCAGAGCTCGTGACCATAGGTGAGGGTTGGAACGTAGATCAACCGGGAAAATCGAGAGCTTCGCTTTTTGGCTAAGCTCCCTTTTCACCACAATGGACCGGTTAAGCGCCTGCATCACTGCTGACGCTGCCCCAATCCACCTATCAGTCTCCCGCTCCATCCTACCCTCACTCCTCACTAAACAAGAAAGAAGATGGAATAGATTATGACATCATGAATTAGTTGTTTTTGGTTGTTTGTTTTGTTGTTGATTTGTTTTTTTGTGTGTCTGTGAATTTTTTCCTTTTACTACCGTATGTGTATGTCAGTGGTTTGTGATGTGTTTCAGTGTAGTTGTGTAATTTGTATTTGTTTTGTTTAAATTTTTTTTTTTTTTAAAAGTGTGCGACAGTGTTCCCACAGTATGAAGCTCCACATCATTACTGTACAGGACGCCTTCTCTTCATCCTGTGTGTGTGTCAGTCATTATTCACCACATGTCTCTGACCTGCAGTCTGATAACAGCCTCCTGATAATGCTGACAGTCACTTCTTTCTCTGAGAGCTCTGTGTGAGACCAAACCTCAGAAACAGAAACACTTCAGAAGCATTAAAGTGCTGCTGCACAAACATCTGTTGGATTTCCCCACGTGGGTCCTGATGATGCCAAAACTGTCCAATTAACCAGTCACCTGTCAGTCGCTACAACTTCCTGTTTACTCCTCCAGGTTCTTTTGTAAAAAGTCAGTGTGAACAGGAACTGAACAGGAGTGAACGCAGCCTGAGATCAGCTCCATGCTGTCGGCCTTTCCCAACCAGGGCTACAACAGTCTGAGATTTTTACAGTGTGATAACCATAGCAGAAAATATCGCTGTCTCACGTCATCATGGTGTTACACAATCTCTATTATCAGTGGAAGCTTTTTTTGGTTGAACACAAACTTCATCATAATTGAAATGTAAGTATGTGTAAAGAGTCTGAGGAGGAGGAGGTGAGGAAATGTGTGCAAGCAGGTTGGATTTTCCATCCGGCTGCCTTTTTTTTCAGTAACGTAGATGAGCAATGTAAATAAAACGTCAATTTTCAAACCACAGTAAAACCTGTTTATCACTGCAACCCTGTTCCCAGTATGCATTGTGGAGGGGTAACTGGTATACTCCTAAAACACTGTGTTGTTGTTCACTCAGCAGAAAGGTGTTCCTCAAGGTTCTACTTTCGGGCCACTTTGGTTTTCTGTTTTTATTAATGAGCTCCCATTAAATTGTTTTGATTATTCAACATTATGCAGATGATGCTTTTATATATTTCTTCATCACAAACTCAAGAGTCTGTGTCACTGAAACCTCTGATTATATGATTATAACCATGTTCTCATGGTTCCTTTGACTCTCAGGAAATTTGTAAACAAAAAAAAAAAAAAGTATTATGTAGTATTAGTATTAGTATAATGTTGCAGGTTTCTTCTGATTGGATTAACTGACCTACATGTTTGTTTTTATTTTACTTAATTAAAAATGTTTAAAGTGTTTGTTAAGATAAGTTAAGATACTGGGTCTAGATGAGACATTTCAATCCTGACATAATAAATTTGTCTGCATTAATAGAAGAATACTGACGGTGCTTTGCGATATTCAGTGACGATGACCTTCGCACCAGATAATCAGTGTTTTAGTTTGTATCTGTTCGTACCGCAGGAAGTCAGTCTCTCGGAGGATTCGGGACGTCTGCGTGCTGCTCAGCTGCTTCAACACACCTGAACTCTGACAGACAGGAAACACAACAAAAGTCAACACAGACAGGTTTCTGTACGGCAGCGGCGTGTGGTGCTGGTTTGGGTGAGTTGATGGTGTTTACCGCTGACTGGGAACATTTAGAGGATCCAGTTTGTTGTTGTTTGTTTGTTGGAGAGCCCAATCGACTGTTCAGGAAACGAGGACCTGATTGAGGAGAGGCGTTTCCCATCATCCTCGGCTCTGAAGACCAACAACAGGACAGGAAGAAGGAAGTGATATCCCAGTTTCCCTCTGCCTCCAGTCTTTGTGCTAAGCTAAGCTTATCACATGAATCTGACTCTGGATAATAAAGAACAACTTCCAGGGGTTTTTAAACACAGTTCAAACACATTAAGAGTTCAATCAGTGAAAGTATATTTTAATGTCAGTATAGTACCCAGAGGAACAAACCTGGAGGCCTCAGTGAGGAACCTGCAGAGTTCTCAGCAGAACATGAGGTTCCTTCAGACGGACGCTGAAAAAAAAAAAACCCATGAAAACTTACTGCGACATGTTTTATAAGACAATGATGGAGGACTCACAGTTGATCATCACTGGATACAGTGTTGGGGGGGGGGGGGGGGGGGGGTNGGGGGGGGGGGGGGGGGGGGGGGGGGGGGGGGGGCGCTGTTCATCAAAGTTGCTCAGTGGTGCATGAAGATGAAAATGTTCAACTTCCTGGCTGTAAAACGACCAGATCTAAGGCATCACTGGGCCCGTAGGGTGGGCGTGCTAGAGACTTTGCCGACTGAGCAGCTAACTTCCTGTTTACTGGGGGGTCGGTGGCTTAGTGGTAGAGCAGGCGCCCCATGTACAAGGCTTTTGCCGCAGCAGCCCGGGTTTCGACTCCAGCCTGTGGCCCTTTGCTGCATGTCACTCCCTCTCTCTCCCCCTTCACGCTCAACTGTTCTATCTATTAGGCAAAAATGTCCCAAAAAATATATATATCTTTAGTGACTTCCTGTTTAGCACTCCGCTAATTTAAATGGAGATTAAAAGATTTAACTGCGCGGCTCTTCTAAACTTTTGTTATTGGAGCAAACTGCTAACATTTTTTAGTGAACCAAGTCGTTTCGTGGGGGTTGTGACGCCAAAAATAACGTATCCAGTGATTTACAGACGTCTCTTTCACAATGTCAGTCAATGGGGAAAAAATCTTTTTGGGCCCAATGACATCATGTGACCGACCTGGGAGCTGTAGTCCTACAGTTTAGGCACTAAAATGGGCTTTAAAACAGCGTTTACATTTGCTGGCACAGGTCGGCTTCTGGTCAGTCACCTGTGGTCGTCCAGCAGATGAAAATATAAATGGCCGAAATGTCCGGTGGGAAATTAATAAAAAATAAAAAGTAACTTCGTTAATAACACATTAAATAGCCAAATATTTTGTGACCTTTTAAATATGCAGCCAAGAAAACTGAAATATAAACGTTTATACTTCAGACCCGGTTCTCAGATCGTAATAATGGACAAATCTATTTATTCACTGAAGCCGCACAGAATGCGTCCCTGCCTCCTCAGAGCACACGCCACATCCACGGCCGTCACAGACTTCCTCTCGGCATTCTCGCTGTAGTTAGCTGACATCAGGGTTCAGGTTCTTGAATGTAAAGAGTTTTATTTACGATTAAACGCAGACTGAAATTTGTTCATAAAACAAATGTCCAGTTGTTGTTTTACTTGATCAGAGGTCTGGAATATTAACGACCATCCAAAGAAAAGAGTCTGAAAGAGACTGCTTTACTGTGTGCCTCCTGCTGACATGTTGATCCTCTGCAGGTGCTGATGGGAAATGTGGTCTGTGTTTGTATATGTGATTACCTGCTGGTCGCCCCGCAGGAAGTTCTCCTCGCTCTCCTTCCTGTTGTTTGCATCCACGAGTTCAACGGAGAAAACCTTCGTCACCACGGAGCTCTCCCTGCCGTCACTACAGACAGACATACAGTTCAGCTACTGCTCCGACAGGTGAGCAGTTACCTGGTGACAGGTGAACAGTTACCTGGTGACAGGTGAACAGTTACCTGGTGACAGGTGAGCAGTCACCTGGTGACAGGTGAGCAGTTACCTGGTGACAGGTGAGCAGTTACCTGGTGACAGGTGAACAGTCACCTGGTGACAGGTGAGCAGTTACCTGGGGACAGGTGAGCAGTTACCTGGTAACAGCTACAGCTCTGACGGCGACTCGACCTGCAGGCAGCAGGATGGGCCCAGTGTACTTCCTGCTGCTGCCAGCTGACCCCCGCTGCACTGCCGCCGGCTTCGACCCATCCAGAGTGTAGAAGATCAGAACATCAGGAGTGTCTGCAGAGAAACACCTTTCAAACACACCTGCTAGAACTAGTGGTACCACCACTGTGGTACTAGTAGTTGGTTGTGTGGTACTAGTAGTTGGTTGTGTGGTACTAGTAGCTGTCGTACTAGTAGTTGGTTGTGTGGTACTAGTAGTTGTCGTACTAGTAGTTGGTTGTGTGGTACTAGTAGTTGTCGTACTAGTAGTTGGTTGTGTGGTACTAGTAGTTGTCGTACTAGTAGTTGGTTGTGTGGTACTAGTAGTTGTCGTACTAGTAGTTGGTTGTGTGGTACTAGTAGTTGTCGTACTAGTAGTTGGTTGTGTGGTACTAGTAGTTGTCGTACTAGTAGTTGGTTGTGTGGTACTAGTAGTTGTCGTACTAGTAGTTGGTTGTGTGGTACTAGTAGTTGTCGTACTAGTAGTTGGTTGTGTGGTACTAGTAGTTGTCGTACTAGTAGTTGGTTGTATGGTACTAGCAGTTGGTTGTGTGGTACTAGCAGTTGGTTGTGTGGTACTAGTAGTTGTCGTACTAGTAGTTGGTTGTGTGGTACTAGTAGTTGTCGTACTAGTAGTTGGTTGTGTGGTACTAGTAGTTGTCGTACTAGTAGTTGGTTGTGTGGTACTAGCAGTTGGTTGTGTGGTACTAGCAGTTGGTTGTGTGGTACTAGTAGTTGTCGTACTAGTAGTTGGTTGTGTGGTACTAGTAGTTGTCGTACTAGTAGTTGGTTGTGTGGTACTAGTAGTTGTCGTACTAGTAGTTGGTTGTGTGGTACTAGCAGTTGGTTGTGTGGTACTAGCAGTTGGTTGCGTGGTACTAGTAGTTGTCGTACTAGTAGTTGGTTGTGTGGTACTAGCAGTTGGTTGTGTGGTACTAGAGTAGCGTCCGAGGTGTAAGGGGCTTCAAAGATACCTTTTTCATAGACAAAAACTCACGGACTTGAACTCTTGGAGCGCCAGGGACAACGCCTCCATTTATTGACTCTCCAATGTGCCCCAACACGTCGCTTTTCTCTGACATCACCAACCTGAGCCCGCTGTCTCCAGGCATCAATAATCAACAGCTGCTCAATCGCTTACACTAGTAGTTAGCTGTGTGTTATTAGTAGTTGGTTGTGTGGTACTAGTAGTTGGTTCTGTAGTATTAGTACTATATGTACACCCCCACAGAGCAATACAAACAAGTCCAAAAAACAAGAAATAAAAAAAGCTATTGAAAACTTCAAAAAGAACAAGGCACCAGGTCCAGATGGAATACCTCCAGAAGCCATTAAAGCAGACCCAGAAACGGCAACAGTAATGCTCCACCAACACTTTAGCCAGATCTGGGAAGAAGAAAAGGTGCCCAGTGAATGGACATAAGGGTATCTGGTGAAACTCCCTAAAAAAGGCAACTTTCAAGACTGCAATAACTACAGAGGCATCATGCTTACATCTGTGCCAGGGAAAATACTATGCAGGATAATCCTGGAAAGACTGTCAAAAGAACTAGAAAAGAAGCTCAGAGACCAGCAGGCAGGTTTCTGCCAGGATGGATCATGCACATCATGTGCACATCATGCACTGACCACATCACCACACTTTGCATTATTGTAGAACAGAGCCTGCTGAGTGGATTCATCTCTAAACCTCACATTCATCGACTTCCATAAAGCATTCGACAATCTAGAGAGAAACGTTTTGTGGAAACTCGTACATAACAGCCATCTCACAGACAGCTTCACTGTAGGGGTGTAAATCACCAACTTCATCACGATACGATATTATATCGATTTGTTTGGATGAAGATAAGATGTTTGCAAATATCACAAAGTCTGTCACAATACGAATTTGATTCGATAAGATTCAGGAGCCTGCGATCGATATGACGAGATATCATATGCCCATCTAACACAATCATTTACATCAACTCACAAAAACAACTAGAATATGATTTGACCATTTTATTTCTGAGCTCTGTTTGTTGTTTGAGCGGAGGCAAACTTACCCAGAAATGGTGACACAGACATACTATGTGAATTTCAAAATAAATGTGTATCTTTAAGATGACGATATGGATCAATGTTTTCATTTTGCATCGATATAATCGGATCGTTAATCAGTGAATAGATGTATCGATGTGGATCGATGTATCGTTACACCCCTACTTCACTGTAGATACAGGAGTCCGACAGGGCTGCTTACTGTCTCCCTTTCTCTTCCTCTGGCAGTCGATTGGATTATGAAGACCACCACAGCCGAACAAAATCTGGGCATACAGTGGACAATGTGGTCCCATTTAGAAGACCTGGATTTTGCGGACGACATAGTCCTCCTGTCAAACAGTCAAACACAGATGCAGACCAAAATAACCAAACTCACCAAAATTTGCACCTTCCACAGGACCCCACATCGATAAAGCAAAAACAAAGGTAATGACCATCAACCATAAAACAGACAATCCCATAAACCTAGACAAAGAGGCACTAGAAGAGGTGGACACATTTACATACCTGGGAAGCATTGTTGAGAAAGACGGGGGAAGTGACAAAGACTTCCAAACAAGAATAGGAAAAGCAAGATCATCCTTTCTTATATTAAAACCAATTCGGAACCCAAAGAACGTCTCCACAAAAACCAAACTCCGCATTTTCAATTCAAACGTCAAGTCCGTCTTGGCGCAGAAACATGGAGAACCACAAAAGTCACCACCAACAAACTGCAAGCCTTTGTTAACAGATGCTTAAGACACATCCTGGGAATATACTGGCCAAATACAAGTACAAAAGAAGAGCTCTGGCAAACCACACAACAAGAACCACTTGAAGCACAAGTCAAACGCAGGAAATGAGGCTGGACTGGGCACACCTTAAGGAAACCGCCCTCCAACACGACCGGACAGTCCTTCTCCTGGAACCCACAGTGGAAAAGAACCCCTGGAGAAGGTCTGTCGAGGCAGAACTCAAGGAATCAAGAACATCCTAGAAGGAAGCAGAGAAGACCACCCAACACCAAACCAGCTGGAGAAAGTTCGTGAATGACCTCTGATCCCCAAAGTGAAAAAGGGTTTAAGTCAAGTAAGTCAACTAGTGGTTGGTTCTGTGAAAGTAACAGAATACTCTACATGATGTAACTGATGTATGAATGTGATGATCAGCTGCTGAAGGTGGAGCTTTATATCCTGCTGAGTGGATTCATCTCTAATGACACTTAAGCACTGATTATTGATTATTGATTATAGTTTGTAATGAAGTGTAAAAATCTGTCAGAGTAATGTGGTGCAGTAAAAGTATGATATTGGTCTCAGGTGTGTTGGTGTACCTGACTGGATGGAGACAGGTGTGTTGGTGTCCATGTGGTTCTTTGCTCTGTGTGTCTGCAGGGGGATGATGGGAATGATGAGTGGAGCCGAAACCGATCCTGCTGTCATGATGATGGCTGTCTGCCTGTCAATCAATCAATCAATCAATCAGTCAATCAATCGGCAGAGGTGGATGAAGTACTCACATCTTTTACCTAAGTAACAGTACTGATGTGTAGAAATACTCTGTTACAAGCAAAGGTACTGCATTCATACCTTGAGTAAAGAACAGAAGTATTTACTCAGAGTACACGTCAGCCAGAATGGCCTTAACTTGTAACCCAGTATTTCTACTCTGTGGTGTGAGTACTTTTACTGCAGTAAATGATCTGAGTACGTCTTCCCCACTGATACAGTGACGCTCCTCACAGCTTCCTGTGTGAGCAGCATGGGACACACAACCTGCGTTCCAATACCCATACTACCATACTATGGTACGGGCCGTAAGACAGCTGCAGTACATCCAGAATGCTGCTGCTCGGGTCCTGACCAGAACCAGGAAGTACGAGCACATTAGTCCTGTGCTCAGGTCTCTACACTGGCTTCCTGTGGCTCAGAGAATAGACTTTAAAGCAGCTCTGCTTGTGTACAAGTCTCTCCACGGCCTAGCACCAAAGTACATCTCTGACATGTTAGTGCCATATGAACCATCTCGGACTCTGAGGACCTCAGGGACCGGCCTCCTGCTGGTGCCCAGAGTCAGGACTAAACATGGGGAATCAGGATTCCAGTTTTATGCAGCTAAAATCTGGAACAGTCTTTCTGAAGATGTGAGACAGGCCTCTACTCTGACAATGTTCAAATCTAGGCTCAAAACAGCTCTATTTCACTGTGCATATGACTGAAAGGATCTTATCTGCACTCTTCTCTTTTAAAGTTCATTTTATAATGATTATTTATGTTTTTATTTTGTATTGTGATTTTAATGCATTTTCTTGTTCTGTAAAGCACTTTGAATTACTTTGTGTACGAACTGTGCTCTACAAATAAAATAGCCTTGCCTACTATTTAGTACGCCAGAAAAATAATTAGTGTGTCCCAGTACATAGTATGTCAGATGCAGTATGCCAAAAGTACCAGGATGTTCTACTACATCTGGTCATATTTCGCAGTATGTATGTCAGCATGCTTCTTTGGCCATTCTGACCCACAATCCTTTGCGCAGCGGAAGTTACGTCGCACTGACTGAGCTGTGTGTACAACCAACGCCCACATATAGCACGGAAGACAACACGACACAGAGAAAGAAAAAAATGAGCAACTTTATGACGAACAACAGCACATTCAAGTGTAAGTACCATTTTACATCTTTACTGCTCGTATGTATGATTAAAACATTAATATAAAAATGATGCACAAAGCTAAGATGATAACATGTACGACTGTCAGACATACCAATTCACCTCACATGAAGTTGTTGATGATGCACTCGGATATTAAGTACGTTCGCTAGTTTGTTAAGTAAGTTACTAGTCGGTCATCAACATTAACTGCCTTTTCTTACTGGAAAATAATTAATTTCTAATGTTAGGGTCAGATGAACACACTGAGCTGCTGATTAGTTGGAGGACAGACAACGTGGACCTCTTCACCGGCAAGAGAAATGCAGCCGTTAAAGGATATGAGTGAGTAACATTATTATGTGCTGAAATGTGATAAAAGGAGCACTGTAGGCATGTAAGCCAATTATTCACATCACACACTACGGCCTTGTAACAGTTCAGTTAATCAGTGTCAGTCAGCCTTACTCATACAATACTGCTTTATACCTCGTACTTTTTTACTAGACTACTTGTTTTTATATCACATACCTCATGTACTGATACGTAACTGCTTATTTATATACTTTATACTATGTTTTGTTTTCTTTTTAAATGTTACATCATCGTCCTGTGGACAGTTGTTTTGGGGATGTCAAACGCCCTCGAGACAACCCTGTAGGATGCTGCATGGGCAGGCCAGTAGAGGAAGGTGAAGACATGGAGCTCTTTGACCCACCCACAGTCAGCCTCACGGGCCAGAGCAGCTGTGAGTGCAGCTATGGACTCCCTGCTCATGCGGAGGTCGGACACACCATCCAGATAGAGCCGCAGGATGGGCACGTTGGGGTTGAGCTGGCAGTATGTTGTGTGGACATGCTATGAATGTGAAATAAATGAATCCAATATTATGCAAAAGCCTCATTTGAATTCCTGTAAAATCACATTCTGCCTGTTTTATATTGGTACAACTGATCTCAGTCCTGCCAACACTGATAATGATGGTGATGGAGCAACACTTCCTTTCATACATGGTTTATTTAATTTGAGATACTAAGACACTACATATTA